CTTCTTGATGCCATCTCAAATTTCTCTTCACACGTCAAGAGCTGATTACGCGTAGAAGATCACCAAAATTCGAATGCGTTAGAAGTCGCATCATGAATTTTGACTTAATTTCAAACAACAATCGTCTGATTTCTAAGAATTGTGATTTCTCTAAATTACAAGACCTTGAGACGTTTATTTCTGGTCATGGTCATATGTGATGTCGTTCATGGGTTTATCTTCAAAGAATTGAAGGAAAATTGGGTTTGGAAGATTTTAAAACTATTGAATCGTTGCAAGGCATTTGTTGATTTTGAAATTTTCTTAACAACAATTTACTGAAGGATTGATGATTGTTCTTAAGAGCATGTTTGTTTGGACAAGATGTGAAGATTAAGACTATCATTTAAAACAATCATGATTTTGGATTCAAGTTTACCAATTGAATTACATTCTTAAACATTTATTTTGTTTAGGAATTGGAGTACAAGGTGCAAGATTGTTTGAAATGCAGTTACAAAGTCAATGGTGATTATTTGGAATTCAAGTTACCAGATTGAAGTATTTTATTTCAAATATTCTGATCGAAAATTTCAAAAATTCACCATTGACTTTGTAACTACATTTCAAACAATCTTGCACCCTGTACTCCAATTCCTAAACAAAATAAATATTTAAGAATGTAATTCAATTGGTAAACTTGAATCCAAAATCATGATTATTTTAAATGATAGTCTTAATCTTCACATCTTGTCCAAACAAACATATGATGGATGAAGGTCTTATCCACATAATCAGACCAAAGACTGAATATGAAGAAGATAAACTCTCACTTTATCATATCCATGGATATCTAAATTGCAAATACTACAACCCACATGATTGTGTGCATAATAGCTGAATTCACAAAGATCAGCATACATCTTCACTAAATCACCTCTGACCAGATTGATATCAAAAGTCATGAAGTCCCTAAGACAACCAACAACCATATTTACAACACTTTCACCTCCATGTTTGGGTAATAGATTATTCTTCACATTGGGTCCAACATCTTTAAAAGACACGTGATAAACCATTAATTGCATATTCGCAAATTGCCACTTCCCTGCTTTCCTATGTTGTTAATATAAAATCATTATATACCTAAGCTTTTCATTTTTCTGCCTGTTTATCTCATTTTTTGTCACTTTAGCAATTGAACTTTCTTTGAATACTTCAAAACATTGTCTCTGCACTTTCATGCCCAAGATTTTCATTTTTCTGTCTGTCTCATTTTTGGGTCACTTTAGCATTTGAATTTTCTTTGAATGCTTCAAAACATTGTCTCTACACTTCTTGAAAGTTCTTTTGTGCGTCTGACCTTCACATATTTCTTTAGAAAACAGAAAGATTTGATTACAAAGATGAAGAAGTAACTTGAGTTGTGACATATTGCAAGCCTATTTTTGTTAACTTTTAACATTTAATGTGCATGTTGAACTTCTTTTTTTTATTTGGGTGGAAGGTGTCTCTCAATTGGTATTTGATCGTTGGGCTAGATGGGTGCGAGCTGTTAGTCTAGGGATTTACTTCTGACATCAGCATTTCTTTGTATTTTCTCACATTGTTCTAATTTAAGCAAGTTTATACTTATAAACCAACATCTTTAGGAAAAAATTTATTTTTTATCTTAGCGAGATTAGTCTATCTCATGTGTTTCTTATATGTTTGTTATTTTGCAGATTTTGCGGTTTTTTGTTAGTGAACCAGTTTGGATTCCATACAATCGCTCTCATAATCATAGAATGTAATAAAATTGGTTTTTAAGCTGTTCAAATTTGATTTACTTGATGATCAAATTGATGGAAAAATGGTTTTTAAGCCGTTTTAATTTTGATTTATGTGCTGGAAATTGATTATGAGGTGATGTCACATATACTAGCAGCAACTTGGTTGGATTGAACATGTTCTTGGAAGTAACTTTGTTGAAGATCAAAAGAAGTATCAAAATGTAGCTAAGTGTGTCATGAAATTGGTTAAATGGGAAAGCCTTTTTGTGGAAGAGCAAGCTCTAGGAGTATGCCTTCCACCTAGAATTAGTTTGAATATAATTTTTGATCACTATATGATGTATTGTTATGTAATTAGTTTATGATGTAGCCTTTAGGTTTATAACATTTGGTAGTTTATAGCAGTTACGGTAATAAATCTCACTTTTTTTCTCAAGAAGTTTTGCCATTTTCTGCACTACAATCTATATCTAGCTGTTTGGTTATTTTATTATATCGGTTAATATATAAAATCTTTAATTTTAGCTGTGTAAGTTCTCACAAAGTCTTAGTTATGAAACATGTCATTTTTGCATTAGCTGTGTAAGTTTATTTAGACGTGATATTTTGAATGAAAATATATAAATATGGAATACTCATGCATTCGCACGGGTACTGGTGTTGTACGCACACTTTTGTATTTAAAATCTAATACAAATGTAAATAAGAAAAATAAAATATTTTATCAAACTAGTTTGTAGAAAGACATATTTTTAAAATAAAAATAAAATTATTTTATCAAAATTATTTTACATCAATAATATATATTTCAATTTTTTCATATATTATCTTAAATAATTTTGCATTTTAAATTAAAAATAACTTCAAAATAAAAATATTAAATACATAAATAATTAAAAAATAAAACATTTTTATCATGTTTGAATTAATACATTATTTTTAATTTTATTATTTTTAATTGTATAAAAAATATAATATCCCGTGTGTTCACACGAATTTTGATATGGTTACCCGTGCATTTACACGGTACTGGCATGTTATTCGTGCATTATCTTAAAGAATATTGTAAATTATATTAAAAATAATTTCAAAATAAAAATATTAGTAATATAAATAATTAAAAAATAATTTATTTTTCTCGTGTTTGGATTCATTATGATTTTAAATATATTTAACTTTATTTTCTTTAACTATACAAAAAATGTAATAACACATGAGTTTACACAAATTCTGATCTAGACACCCGTACGTTCGTACGAGTACTGGTGTGTTACACGCATTTATTTTAAAGATATTTAAATCAATAGTAAACTTGTTCTAGTTATTATTCAAAAGTTAAATCAATAGTTTAATATCAGTATCATATGTACATATCATATCAGTATCCATGTGTTCGCATAAAATTACACAGGCCCGTAGCAGTCGGATCGTGCCAACTCAGCAAGTACTGCAACCTTACCCCTTGAGTAGCCAAGTTGCCAAACAGAGTCTGTATACGACCAACAATGCTTCTGAGTCGATCGTAACACATCTCATCTTCGAAATGTTAGAAGAAATTGTGCCATAAATTTGTGACCTTAATACAAACAACTACCGTGCATAAACCGCGTTAAATGAAAATTAATATTGTAATCTCAATCAAGAGTCAAAACCACAACTAATAATCAAAAACCTTCAACAAAGTATGGTATCAAGCATTGAATTAGTAGCTACTGAAAAAACCAAACGTTGAATTGGTTGTAGTCAGAGAATGATATTTGATGATAAATAAATTCAAATAGATATACCAAAGTTTTTTAGTAATCTTTTATTGTCGGTATCAGTGCTACTATCCTCTTTTCGTTTCTCAACCACCAGGTTTCGACGTTAAAGGACAGGAGTCGAAAGTTTACAGATTAAGGAAGGCTCTCTATGACTTGAAGCAAGCTCCTAGAGCTTGGAATAAAAGGATAAATAGCTTCCTAATCAAAGCAGGTTTCACAAAGTGTGTCTCTGAACATGGAGTATATGTAAATGATGTTGAAAGTGTCAATTGAATCATTTTATGTCTCTATGTTGATGACTTACTCATTACAGGAGCAGACGAAGCTGAGATAATGAAGGTAAAGTCGAAGTTAATGCAGGAATTCGAAATGTCTGATTTAGGGAATCTCTCCTATTTCCTGGAAATGGAATTCAAAGACATCGAAGAAGGAGTTTTCTTGCATCAAACGAAGTATGCTCAAGATATACTGAAGAGGTTCAATATGAGCAACTGTAAGGCAGCTATTACTCCATTAGAGACTGGAGCAAAGTTGAAAAAGGAATCAGATGATGAATTTGTAAGTTCGACCCTTTACAAACAAATCATTGGATCCTTGAGGTATCTTTGTAATACTAGACCAGATATCTGCCAAAGTGTAGGATTGTTGAGCAGATTTATGGAGAAGCCTCAAGAATGTCATCTCATCGCAGTAAAGATGGTGTTGAGATACATAGAGGGAACTATTGATCATGGTGTGCTGTTACCAAAGAAATCAAAGAATAACTCAGATGTCGAAGTTCATGGATACACTGACTCAGATTTCAGTGGAGATCAAGACGAAAAGAAGAGTACTGCAGGATATATTTTCATGATCGAAGGAGCTCCAATCTCCTAGAGTTCGAGGAAGCAAAACATTGTGGCTTTGTCATCATGCGAAGCAGAATATGTGGTTGCATCATATGCCGCATGCCAAGCAGCATGGATCAAAATGCTACTTGAAGAACTCAGAATAATGGATTCGAAGATGAAGTTGTTTGTTGATAACAAGTCAGCTATAAACCTTGCGAATCACCCAGTGTGTCATGATCGAAGTTAGCACGTTGAAAGAAGGTATCATTTTCTGAGGGATCAAGTCAACAAAGGGAAGCTTGAAATAAAACATTGCAAGACAGAAGTGCAACTAGCTGACATATTCACCAAACCTCTAAAAAAAGTGAGGTTCGGAGAGTTAAAGAAAGGCATCGGGATGAGAAGTCTTAATAACATGAATTAATGGGGTGCGTTAGTTGGTTAATTTTTGTTATGTAGTTATTTGGACTTTTAGCATGTGTATTTGGGTCTGGGCATCTTGCATATATAAAGGGTCTTTATGTTTGTAATCAATAGCAGCAATAATAATACATCTCTCTCTCTCTCTCTCTCTCTCTCTCTCTCTCTCTCTCTCTCCCTCTCCTCCTTCTTGTTTTCACAAAATCATCTTTTTTGAAACCTTTGTTCCAACAATCTTAATGTATCTTGCTCTTAGGAGTTTTTTTCATTTCCACAGGACGGCTGTCAGTCAGAATTTCTAAAAGCGAAATTCCAAAGGAGTAAGCATCACTTTTGGGAGTGAGATGGTAAGTTAAATCCAAAATCATCACATCTCGATGGATAATTTGTTTTTCTGGTGTAAGAATTTCTAAAAGGGAAATTCCAAAGGAGTAAGCATCACTTTTGGGAGTGAGATGGTAAGTTAAATCCAAAATCATCACATCTCGATGGATAATTTGTTTTTCTGGTTTAAGACTGTTGGGAGGAGTTACTAGGAGCATTGATACAAAGTTGATGATTATACACCTTTGTGAGAGATACACCACTTATGCACCTAAAACCTTAAGGTGATAGGTGAGTGAGTTCTCCCACTTATATATTCTCAAGTCACCACATTCCTATCCAATATGAGACTATTTTCCCAATTACTCACACTTGTATTATTATTCTAACAAAGACAACGGTTAGACATCAATTGAAAGATCTATAAATATTATTAGACTATATAGAGAAATTATGATGCATCAATATGCCAAAATAAGTCAAAAACTTAAAGCCTAATAAATAAGCTAAAAAGGTAAAAGTAAGAAATGCTTAAAAAGATATCAATTGTATAGAGAATAAATTGTGATTGAATAATCAAACAACATATAATTTAGGTTGAAGTTGTTTTCTTATAACATCTGTTTATAGTATATAAGATGGAGTCTGCATTTTATATTTGGTTTGCGTATAACAAAAATGTAGAATATGAACATATTTTGCATAACAATGAATGAAGGGATTACTGACCAGCATACAGATGCAAATAGGTCAATCCATGAGCAAAATCAATTGCGATTTCAAGACGCTGATTGAAATCCAGGATTTTCCCGAACAAATCTACCAGCAATATCAAAACAATAATCAGTATTACTTTCCATATTTGAATACAAATACTGGCAAAGAACATTACACAATCTTACTATCCAAATGTTCTTGAAGAGTACCATTTGGCACAAACTCTACAATAAGGATACGTTCGTTTCCTTTTTCAATATAACAAAGTAGTTTCAGCAGGTTTCGATGATCAATTTTGGCCAAGAGTTCAACTTCACAGCTGAATTTTGTTCTCAAACTCTCAAAATGTTCCTATATTATTCAGTCATGTCAATATATTATCACTAAAATAAGAAAGTATTTCTACCAATTTTAGTGGTACAAAATAGGCAAAACAGTTTATAATATAGTGCTATATCATATCAACAAATAAATTTTCTAAAAATAAGAATCCAGAACTTTAGCACTCTAAAATTGGCTGCAGATTTATGAAGTATAGACATCAAGAGATACTTCTTACCCTTTTTGCGCGTTTTACAGCCACGACCAGGCCATCATCTAAATTAGCCCTGTAGACAATTCCAAAACCTCCTTCTCCTATTTGTAATGTTTCTGAAAAATTAGGGGTAGCTTTTGAAACCTGACTCAGGTTGAGATGTAATGATTGAAAGGTTCTTACCTTTTTCACTATGAAGGAATGAACCAGTAAAGTAAATAAATAAATTTTTTGTACGGATCTCCAACAGAAGATTATGCATAACACTAATCCACCTCCTTAATATACTCAATTTATCAGTAACATGTCAAAACATGCTTCACTTACCTCATTTTCCCTACACACCACACCCACATGTATCACCATGGTTCCTTTCTTCTTCGACTTCATAACTCTGCAACAGCTTCTCCTTGGAAACTGCACAAATATAAATACCAAAACAAACCCACATCAAATTCCAATCTAATGATATTAGCATTTCCACCAGACAAGTAAAATTTCATAGTTTAAATTTGAAACTAAAAGCAATCAAAACCGATTTAACTTACCCTATCGCATAGTTGTGGATCTAGCTTCTTATGTACCTCTATTCGCTCAATAGAAGAAGGGTTGGCCATCTTCCATCGACATTCTGGGTTAGGGACATGATGCTTTTCGTATTTGGTCAGTGTTTGTTGCATTGTATCATTGTAGTTTGCCTTTGAGAAGTAAAATACAAAAGGCTTATGGCATGGATGATGACTAACAGGTCGCATGTTGAATGCATATGCAGTGTAATATGCTCTTTTGTACCAATTCAAGAATGTTCTTGCAGGCATTTCCATCTCCCTGGGTGAAAACATGCTGCAAATCATGTGAACAGAAAATTATCCGGGAAGATTGGTTCAACCACGTCAAGGTGGTGCAGTGACACTAACAGAGTCACATGATGCGATCCAAGAAGACTGAGCAGGTTCCCATACACATCATACTGTTCCAATAAACCAGGGGATGTTAGTATGAGATTAAATCAACAATAGAATTCATAACTTTACTGCATAAAGTATTGTAGCAACAATCAAACATAAAATTACAAACAGGCCCGTAGCAGTCGGATTGCGCCAACACAGCAAGTACTGCAGCCTTACCCCTTGAGTAGCCAAGTTGCCAAACAGAGTCTGTATACGACCAACAATGCTTCTGAGTCGATCGTAACACATCTGCAAAATGTCAGAAGAAATTGTGCCATAAATTTGCGACCTTAATACAAACAACTACCATGCATTAACCGCTTTAAATGAAAATTAATATTGTAATCTCAGTCAAGAGTCAAAACCACAACTAATAATCAAAAACCTTCAACAAAGTATGGTATCAAGCATTAAATTAGTAGCTACTGAAAAAACCAAACGTTGAATTGGTTGTAGTCAGAGAATGATATTTGATGATAAACAAATTCAAATAGATATACCAAAGTTTTTTAGTAATCTTTTATTGTCGGTATCAGTGCTGTTGGAAATCTTGGTATGATGTAAATTTGGATTATCATACCAAGATTAGATGTCCGACGGATATACAGATTAGTTATATTTACTTCACTACGGATAGCTTTTTCTAAAAGGTTAACATAATATATGTTTTAAATGTTTTCATGTGATATTTATTTGTTGTCCCCCAACTCACAACAACATTTGAAAAACATAACAGAAATGTACATATTACGACATTGTATTGTTACAGTAGCAAGAAAATAAAACTGTTCCCTAAATGATGAAAACAATACAGACATTGTTCTTAATTAAATAATCACTTTTTATCATTACTAATTTGTTCAACATCATTAAAATCTCTCATCTGTAATCAAATAAACATAGTGTGAGAATCCTAACAATATATTCACAAATTCTTTCCTTCATCTCTATTCTTTTACTTTAATGTTATAATTTGAAATTATTTTGTGAGAGGAAAAATCCCATGAATACACTCTTGGTTTTATTCTTAACTTCAACGAGACTTAAGATCACTTAGGAGCAGAAGTTGCAGAAGGCATAGAAGACATAGTAGGCGCAGAAGCTGCAGAATGCGTAGAAGACGTAGTAGGCGCAGAAGCTATAGAAGGCATAGAAGGCGTAGAAGATGTAGTAAGGCGCAGAAGCTGCAGAAGGCGTGGCTTCAGTAGCGGAACCGCCACTCATAGGTCCAAGTGAACAAGGTACCCCAGAACTCGTCACCAGAAACCTGAAGAAATTTACCAAGGTAAAATGCAGCAGTTGTAGTTTTAACTGTTAAATAAACATTAAATGTCATTAGTAATAAGTTTCATATTAAATATGGTAGTAGGAAGGACAAAAGTTTAGTAAGTTATGATAATTTATTAGTAGCAGTGTTTTTTTGTAAAAGTCATTAGGTCTATATAAAGACCAAGAGTGTATTTTATTTTAATAAGAGCAATATACAAAGTTTTGTCTGAAGTCTGATTCTTAGTTTTGGCATCAGAGCTCATGGCAAACATGATGAATCAAATGCCGTTGCCACGGCTAACGAAGTCAAATTATGAAAACTGGAGTATCCAAATGAAAGCTCTTCTTGGATCTCTAGACGCGTGGGATGTGACCCATGATGGGTTTGAAGAACCAACAAAAATTGGGGGATATACGGAAGCTCAAACGAAGGCGTTGAAAGAGACGCGATCGAAGGACAAAACGACATTATACATGTTATTCAGGGCTGTAGATTAATCAGGCTTAGAAAAAATTGCTGGTTCGACTACGTCGAAACAAGCGTGGGACACGTTAGAAAAAGTGTTCAAAGGAGCAGATCGAGTGAAGGAAGTTCGACTCCAAACTCTTCGTGGCGAATTAGAGAGGATACAGATGAAGGATACAAAAATTGTATCTGACTACATCACACGTGTGCAAAAGGTGGTGAATCAACTCACCAGAAATGGAGAGACAGTACCTGATGCACGAGTTGTTGAAAAGATCTTGAGATCTTTAACAGACAAGTTTGAAAATATTGTGTGTGCAATAGAAGAGTCGAAGGACCTTTCGACGCTCTCAGTCGAAGAGCTCGCTGGTTCTCTCGAAGCACATGAACAACGAAAGATGAAAAAGAAAGAAGAAACAGTCGAAGAAGCAAACCAAACCAAGGAATCGAACATTAACATGAGGCCATTTAACTCTTGCTTTCGTGTCAGTGCCAGGACCTTTGTTATTATACTCGTAAAATGTACATGTATCGATAAATGCATTTCCCATCCATGCATGGTAACCTTCCGGGAGAAAGATATCATCTATGACTGAATCCATTATCACAACTTTGGAGTATGCTTTCCATGGCCTTCCTAGGAAAGATACTTTGGGTGAAATTGATTCTAATCCAGGTTCACCTGTGAAGTGACAACTTTGGAAAACAAGCGCACTTGCGCTGGCGTCTGTCAGTCTTCCACCAGCTGTTACTAAATTGGCTTGGCCTGATGCTGGTTTTCTAACTATAATTTTGCAGTTTTGGAAAACTGCAAAGGGGTTGCCGAAGATGAAGTCGATTGTACCGGAGATGCTACAATCCCCGAAGAACTGGCGCAGGTTTTGGCTGAAGAGTGTCTTGGTGACCATCTATTTGACAGTTGCGGAATACTGCCATGTCTCTTGAAACTCTCAGTGCTACTGCTTGCTGCTTTTCTGGTCCTGCTGCGTTTTCAATGCCTATATCCGTCGCCACGAAGTTTGCACCATTCACCCCTGCCATGCGTATACAATTTAATCAAATAACTATACAATATTCTAATTTAATCAGATGAATTTGTACGAACTAATTTGCAAAAGTACTGCAAATTAATATGTGCGAATTTGTGATTCGCAGGGATGCCTGAGAATTATGTACTATGGCTGGAAAAGTCTTAAGAGCTTCAGCGACCGTTTTAAACTGTCCACTACCATCTTGTAACCCATGTTGGAATACCATCGATAAGTTTTTCTGATTCATCGGATAAAAGCCTCCTATTAACATTACTTGGACCTTGTCCGAAATCCTTAAGTAGTCCAGAAACAGAATTCATCATTTCAATAGTTTTGTTACTTTTGTGTCTGCTTTCTCAAAACTATCTAAACATGTTTGTTGATCAGAAAGTGTGGCAGTTATCCAAACTTGAAGATCGAAAACAAAGTCACTTAACCTACTGAAATCAGATCTATCTAATGTACCGTCAGATTTGTTAAATCTATCAGCAGCATTACTCAACACTTCATTGCAAGCTCGCATTGCTTGTCTCGCCAAGTTGTCTTTTACCAATTCATTAGAAAGAGCTGAGTTGTTTATGTACTCTCCTCTCGCTTCACCGAACAGACCTTTTATCCGATCTTTTCTGTTTCTTGTTTTACCAAATGCTCATCCGAGTTCCGTGTCACATTTATCTGGATTCGATATACAAAGATTTTCAACATCTCTTTGTGTGGTAAAGATTTTTCCATTTTGTTCTGCAGAGCCGCTGCGTGTTAAACTGACCCCGACCGTGCCAATCATTGCAACAAGAAGAATGGAAGAGATACCAAAAATTGCAATTCTTGTCTTTTGGTTACGACCACCATTAATATTATCACGTGTTCCTTCCATATTCCTATAAAACAACTATACAATTTTTTTTCTTTCTTTTTTGAGCAGTGGTTTTCAAATGCCTTGTAGGGTAAGCTCTATCTTTTCAACTTGTGATTTTGATTCTATATAAACACATGCTTTGAGTTTATTTTACCAGAAAACGCTCCATAATCCCTTGTTAAACGGATAACATTAGCTGAAATTTAGTAATTCACCAATTTTGGCATTTCATTGTTGAGTGATTATTATAACATACATAGATTTGATTTGAGGATGTTATTCAAGTATAAAATCTAGTTAGTAAAAAAAAAGTATCAAATCTAGTAAACTTATAAATTAGATGTTCAACCGTGCACTGCGCTAATATGTTTCTTGTTCTTCTCGTTTTATAAGGCACACATCATTAGATTTCTCCCTTATGTATTTGTGATTTTATGTATTTATTTTACCATAGACATTCTATTAAGCAAAAGTTTTAATAGTTTTGTAGAACCAAAAGTTTTGTAGAACCAAAAGTTTTATGTTCTAATTCTTACAAGTCTTCCTTTTATAGCTGAAAGAGAGATTCATTGGAGGGTAGAATAGGAAACATAAAATCAGTTGGTTTGTCCCCAACGGTCATGGTGGGAATGGTAGACAATAAAGTATAAAAAGATTGTCCTTAGACCATCCTAGCAGGTTAGTGACCACGGTGTACTTTGTACTTTTATACTCACCATCACACACAAATCAGTCTTGATCTTCTTCTTTTATTTATTCAGAGGCTTCTGATTGTATATTGATGAAACATGTTATAGAAGGATCAGAACTTGAATCTTCATAACCTAAGTTTTTGGAGTATTTAGAACTTGTTCAGCAGAACCTTTGTCTTCAGAGTCTTCAACAATTGGTCTTCAGAAGTAATGTCTTTAGATCTTCAGAACTTGTTCACCAGAACCTTATCTTCAACATTTTCAGAACTTGGGACAACAGAAGCAAAGCTTTAGAAGGCCTTTAAAGCCTCCTTGTAAAGTCAGGATTAGAAGCTCTCGTACTAGCGTTCCTTGGAACCTTTGCATAATAAGCCTTCCAAAATCTTGACTTATCTTTGTAACACACCATAAGTATTTTTCTAGAGTTTTGAGTTTAGAACCGGATGACATCACACGCCTTCTACCAAAGTTAGAACCTGTTTAGAAAAAGCTACACACTATACAAAAACCATTAGAGTATACAATTGTTCTTTAAGATACCATGTAAAGTTATCATGAAAACTCAGGGCCAGATGTATAACCAATCTTGTTCTTACATACTTCTGGACAAAGAAAGTCAGGTAGCAGTAGAGAAGTCTCCTTTTACGAGTGCAACGAGCTAAGTCACTATAAGAACGAGTGTCCCAAGATCAAGAAGGATGAGCCCCAGAAGAAAGCTTTCAGATGAAAGAAGAAAAGGTTGATGGCAATATGGGATGATTCTGATTCATCAGAAGATGAGTCCAAAGAAGAACAAGATAACATAGCTTTGATGGCTAGCGTTAAAGCTTCTGATGAGATGATCCATCCCGAAGAAGATGCAAACTATGATTCAGACATATACGATATTTTCTTACCTTTCTCACTCTGAATTAACTTGTTCTTTACTTGAAATT